AGGGCCAGCGCCGCAGCCCCGGCGTCTCCCGACGAGGGGGCTGAAGTGGGGGGGGGGGGGAGGAGGAGGAGGATGCATTTTATGGCGAGCGCTATAAACTCTTCGCTGCCAGGGTCATAAAATATGGTTGCTTTCAGCCTGGAATCTCAGCTGTTTTCAAACGTCGTGCTTTGTCTCGAATTCCTAAATGCACGGGACAGGCAGGATTGCTGAAAAAGTACCTCCTTATGTTTCTAATCACAGTATGGCATCACTCGAAAAGTACCTTGTTTTGTTTTTTTTTTTTGTCCCCCCTTCTTTTCCTTAAATAAGAAACCCTAAGAGGACTAGAGACATACCCTTGTGAAAGTTACTTCATCCAGTATGGAAAAGATACTTACAGATTTTGGAGACAGAGATCACTCTAAAGTGAGTTGTATTTACTTTTTAAGTTAAGCTTTGAGATTCCCCCCCCTTTTTGAGCTTACTTTTAGCGAACGTACTAATGAAGAAGGAAAATCTCTATTTCTCTCCATTCATGCTCGCCCACACATACCGGGCTCCTCTCCATTAGTGCCTGTTTCTTATCGAAATGAACACGGATTCTCCTGGAAACTACCAAATCCCGCAGGGGCAGAGTTAATACCCCACCAGGCTCTAGAAAGGAAACTGTTGGCTTCCTCAATTGTGATAAGGGTGAAATGGATCCAAGCAAGGACAACAATCCCGGGCTCATGTTTGTCTTTGAAAACCCCGAAGATGTGGCTAGTTTTTGCCTAGGAGTGAAAGCCATCATAAAAACATTTTAAAACAGTAGTCCTTCTTTTTGTGGCTTTTCAGCGGATCGAGGAGATTATAAAGTATTGGTCTTGAGGGCTGACCTTTCCTTGGGCACTTTCAGATTCCTTAGGGAATGGTACAAAAGCAGGCAGTGCTATGTGCAAAAAAAGCTTTATTTATTTTAGTGTGTCTGTGTGTATGTATGTGTGTGTGAGAGAGTGTGTGTTGGGGCATTTCCATTCTTCATTAATCTAAGCCTGTTTTCTTAGTATTTGTATGCATCCTGATTCTTCTAGAGAGCTCAGCTGGGGGTGGTAGGGAAGCGTGGGGAAAGCTTTTACAAGGGACAAGTAAATTCTACTTTAAAAAGTAAAATTCAAATAATGCATAAGACGAACATATTCAATGTTTGTTTTGTTCAACTTGATTGTTTGGGAACTTGTTTTTCTTTTTTTTTTTTTCCCAACAAGTATTTTTGAAAAGCATATCATATAATCATTCACAATAAAGTAATCTGGAAAAAAAAAGTTAAATAAAACACAGCCTGTTTTCTTCTATAGCACTGATAGCAACCTTTTTCTCCTAAGAGGGAAAAAGAAATACAAATGAAAGTGAGAAAAAAAGGAGGAGGAACACCCAATCTTTGTAGCTGTGTCTCTCTTAATTGATCTTTTACGTGCCAATTTAAATCAGCTTTGTTTTTCTAGCCATTATTTTAGCCAACGCATCCCACTTTAGATCAATTATTTTACTTTCTGTATTTTTACAGGGCTGTCTGGGGATATCTCCCATTCAACGAGCTTGAGTCAGTGAAACTAACAAATAGAACATTATTATAGAAAAATGAGAGCGCTGAGAAATCAGCAACTGGAAGATACCTCTGTAACTAATAAATGAAAAGAACCTTTTGATGGCTCCAGCTGAAAAGATATTTTATTTTATTTTTTTCTCCTGTGTGTGGGATTTGAGATGTGTGATTCTATGGAGCAGCCAGGCACCCCTGCTGCTAGGCCCTGGCTAGGAGTTGGCCCCCCTCTGGCAAATGTTATGGAGAATTGGGAGGAATTTTATGGCTGTCTTTTCCCTCAGCTCTTTTTTCTTTTGTCTTCTTTGAAGAATGACTTTAGACATTTTATTTACATATTTAACCATGGATGAAAGAGGAAAAAGAAAGCATTTGGGCCGTTGTGGGAATAGTGATATGTTTAAATTAATGGAAATCTTATTAGGCTTCTAAAATTTTAAGCAAAAGATTTTTAATGAAACTTTATAATTAAACATGATTTCAAATAATGTGTCAACTCACAGGAAAGATGCATTTCTCCCTCTAGCTATCCATCTCCCCACCTCCCAAAAATGTGCAGAAGAATCATCTGTATCTTAAAGTCCAGCTCTTCTTCTGTACCTTCAGCAAAAGATTAAAAACCCTGAATATTTAATAAGGCATGTCATAATTCAAACCATAACTAAATATTTTGTAGGTAAAGCAAACCATAAACAAGACAAGAAAAAAGGCACCACCACCCCTCATCCCTGCAATGGCAAAGTTTAATGCTGTGTAATCTACTGCAGTGACAGTGTAATAAAATACTTTGATATGGGTAATGGTGAAAATCAAAGTTGCATCTATTCTATACATGTTAGACTCAATGGAAATTACAGCGCTAGGCAAGGTTTTCTGAAATGGGATTAAAGAAAACCCAAATAATCCATTTGAGATAAAATGTTCTGACACTTCAGCAGTAAAGAGAAATGAAATGATAGGCTTAGGGAGTTGAAGAGTTAATTAATACATTAAAGATTTTTAGTAGAATAGTATTAATTGCCTATGATTAACAGTTGTGTGTTATGACAGAACATGAACTAATTTTGACAGTCTTATATTTAAGAAGTCTGTAGCTATAAGTGTTTTTAAGGTTTAATGTTTTTGGCCAGCTGTTTGTTACACAAAAAATAGACATCAGGTTAATGTTAGTCCCGCTCAATAATCCTATCCTCATCTAGATTTGTATTCATTCATTCAGACACTTTTTAACTGCTTACGTCTGACACATGTTTCATTCTGGTAACAAATTCTAACATACACATTTTTAAAAAAAAGCTGTAGAGAAGGTAGCAACTGCAAAAGAAAAAGATAACACACAGAAAAAGAAAGCTCATAACTATTTTAGCAATTTTACAAGCCTGCCTTTCTTACTGCATTTCCACTAGATATTCATTAAATTAAATGGCATGCAGAAAAATGTTTACTTTTTAAACCAAATGGGCTTATTTTTTCCTAGCCACAGAATCTTTGTAGCAGTTTTCCTCCAATATTTAAATAAGCATGTCTGCCTAATAGGACAGGCATACTGAGAAATATTCCCATGCAAGTGCAAATATTCACAATGCACAAAAGTTTTAATTACCTTAGAAAGCCACCACCACCAACAGTTAAAAGAATTAAAAACAAAAACAAATCATAAATGGATGAGTGGGTTCTATAGTATTGCTCTAATACAATTTAGCTGGCTATTTTAAGGGCACTTCCCTTGAAATGTGGTTTGAAATATTACCAAAGGTTCGACGGGGTGCATTAGTGTGAATTGCAAATCAGAACATTTCTTTAATCCCCTTTTCATGGCCTGGCTTCGGATCAGTGGCATCTAAGGGACTCCCCACTGATTCTGGCTCAGGAGGAACCATTCACTGGGGCAGCTTCCCTCCTCTATTCCCACAGTCCAGAAAACAACACCACAGACAGACACCCTCCAACTAAATTAGATTAAACTCCTTCTCTTCCACAGCACATTAGCCTTTTCACTGCCCAAGATTCATTATTCAGCTACTCCTAATTTAAAGATACAGTATTTTTCTCCTCTTAGGAACAAAAACAACAAACAAAATTAAAGCCAAAGCAGAATAAAAAAAGATTCCTGGTCAGAAATAAACCCAATAATTCTAAAACTACATAAAGATAGGAGAATAGCCTTTGCACTTTTACTCTAATATTACAGGGATATTATAATTCTAAGGCACAGGCCACAGCAGAAATCTCTATAGAG